ACTTTTAGTTAATTTAGTATCTATAGAAACAACGCTAATGACTGGCTTGCTGTTAATAAATACGTGGGTAAATCTCTGTTCGGGGCTCTCAGCTCTGAAGGCTGTGAGACCCCTGATTTCCCACTTCACACCTCTGTATTTCTGTGTGTGTGCCTTTAATTCCTCTAGCACCGCTGGGTTAGGGTCTCCCCGACAGAGCTGGTCTCCGCACACACAATCCACATAAAGCACTACAGACTGAGCTCGGCAAATACTAACAGCCCCTAAATGTTGCCATGGTGGTTCTGACCATTACTATTTCACACTGGGAACTAGTCAAAGTGGACAAAGGTTCATGATCAAGCCGTCAACCTGGAAGTGAAGGGGGTATGAGGAGAGCCGCGAGAGGGCAGCCACTCTGTGATGGGGAGGGTCATGAGAGGGCAGCTACTCATGTGGCAGAATATGAGCCTCACAGGCCTGATGACCTAGAACCAACTACCCAAGCCCCAGAGACCCTGGGTACCTGCGCTCCGCACTGCCCCGCACCCGTCCCTGGTTACCTGCGCTCTGCACTGCCCCGCACCCCTCCCTGCTCACCTGCGCTCTGCACTGCCCCACACCCGTCCCTGGTTACCTGAACTCTGCACCGCCCCGCACCCCTCCCTGGTTACCTGCGCTCTGCACCCTCTCGCAACCTCTGCACCCTCCCGCAACCGTCCCTGGTTGCCTGCGCTCCGCACTGCCCCGCACGCCTCCCTGGTTACCTGCGCTCTGCACCGCCCAGCAACTGCCCCTGGTTACCTGCGCTCTGCACTGCCCCGCACCCCTCCCTGGGTGAGTGCAGCCCCCGCACTTCAGGCTCTGGGTCCAGCAGAGGTACAAAGAAGCAAGGATGGCAGAACCTTGGTGGCCAAGAGAACAGCACAGAGCTTCAGAGGCTGGTGCCCTCAGTCCCAAGTCCTATGTGGGAAGAGGGTGTGCTACAAGGCTGGCTCGCCACAGCAACCTAAGGGTCTATTTTTTTTTTTGAAATAGAGTCTCGCTCTGTCGCCCAGGCTTGGAGTCCAATGGCGCGATCTCGGCTCACTGCAGCCTCCGCCTCCCAGGTTCAAGTGATTCTCCTGCTTCAGCCTCTTGAGTAGCAGGACTACAGGCACATGCCACCACGTCCAGCTAATTTTTGTATTTTTAGTAGATAATGGGGTTTTGCAATGTTGGCCAGGCTGGTTTCGAACTCCTGACCTCAGGTGATCTGCCCACCTCTGCCTCCAAAGTGCTGGGATTATAGGCATGAGCCTTTGTGCCTGGCCGGGTCTATCTACTTTTAAGATCTGTCTAAGACTGGACACATTAGCTCACGCCTGTCATACCAGCACTCTGGGAGGCCAAGGCCGGGGGATCACGTGGGCCCTGGAGTTCAAGGCCGCAGTGAGTCGTGATCGTTCCACTGCACTCAGCCTGGGCAACAGAGCCAGACTCTTTCCAGTAAAAGAAAATGATCTCAAGTGTACCCTGCAGAGGTCACGCAGGGCCAGCATGTGGCCTCCCCCCACCACCGAGCCCACCTTGGAAACATGGGGCCTCCCTGCCACTGCGCCCACCTGGGAGGGTTTCTGAAACTTGCGGCCAAGAGTCTTGTCTGTACCACACAATTCTGCACCTGTCAGTACTAAACATTCCCGGTGCCCTCACCCAGTCCAGAATTCCACGTAAGTGAAGGGAGGAAGCCTCCAAAAGCCATGTCAAAGAGGAAGAAGGGTGGAAAGCCAGGATCACAAACAAGTGGCCCTGGGGGTGCGAGTAGGCTGTGCCCTCCCCATTCCTTAGGCCAGAGCTTGACCCCCAAGGCTCCTGAGCGGGCCCAGCCACTCAGCTAATACTGAGCATGGCACACAAGGGCTGCTGGCTGGCAGAAATTACATGCAACACCCAACCAAACGCACGAGGCGAGCCACGCTTAAACCACACGACAACTGTGCAGCATCGTTTTCATTTTCTGCCTCAATTTGCCTCACTAGCAGTAACACTGAGTTCAAGTCAGCCACAGAGGGAAGGTGGATTTCCCTGCAGTCAGGGCACGGCAGGCTCCATTTCAAAAGCAACGGCACAGAACCCAAAACAAAGAACACACAGCATACACCTGCCCTGGGCATCTCTGACACGGTTGGTGCTCCTGATAATCTGCCTTTTAAAAAAGTGAAGACTAGCCAGGTGGGAAACGGCACATGCCTGTAATCCCAGCCACTCGGGAGGCCGAGGCAGGAAGATCCAGAGCCAAGTTCAAATCCATCCCGAGTAACAGCAAGACCTCGTCTCTTAAAGAAAAAAAAAAAGGAAGATGACAGAACAAATTTGAAGAAATTTGAAAGCTATGCGGTTCCACAGTTCTACCTAAAAACCCATTCACACCACAAGTCCAAATTCCTAAAAGCTAAGAAAACCGTTTTTTCCTAACTCACTTGACAGCAAATCCTAGTCTATCATAACCTCATTTGGGATAAAACCTAACATGAACTGATACGGAGCTAATCGCAGACTTTATCCCACAGTGAGAATATTTAGTCATTTAATTACAGAAACATTAATGTATTCAATTACAGAATACTTTCCCAAGTTCTCTGGGAACATCCCATGATATACAGGTTATACGCTGCAATGATCATTCTGAAACCTGAAAAATTCTGGAATCATAAACATCTGTACTCAAGGGTTCAGATCACGGGCCATCGCCATGTTTACACAAGACAGCCTGAACTCCCATAGCCTATGTTCTAAGGTTGCTGTCCAGACAAAACTTATTTAAGTATGTTTATACAAAATACTTAATTCAGCTTTCACACCCTGTTTCAGTTCAAAGAGACTTCAAAGAACTTAGGAGGCTGCAGGCCACCTATTAAGCTCACAAGGAGGAAATCTACAGCTCCTAATTGCGTTGGTTATTTTTATCTCCTGACTCGCCTAGATAGCAAAGGGAAACAAGTTCCTTTGCACAACCTCAGCGGCCGCCCACATTTCCTTGTTCTTCTTCCTGGGTGCTAAGTGACCCACAGGCTTCTTTCTTTACATGAATCTTCCTCTCCGGGCCCCAGTGAGGGTGCATTCTCCATCCCTCAAACCCTGATCCGTGCCATCTTCTGCTTGACTCCTTCCCAGAGCTCATACTGTGTGTACCACCCCAAGGATCCCACCGCCAAGGATCCGTCCCTATGCTGCCTCTGTCTCTCCACCGCTTGAGCACCGGTCTGAGGTTCCAGAAACCAAGTCCTGTCCACTATGAATTTCTTAAAGAATGAAGATAACCACCTAGTATTTTCAGAATAAATGAGCTGATCTGAGAGAAATCTGTTTCTAACAGAAGATGTGAAAGAGGATCACACTTCAGCCTCCACCTCTGAAAGAAGAGCTTGGAGCTGACCAAATTGTACCCAAAATCTGTTTGGTTTTGACCACAACGGAAACAAAGTGTGTGACAACGCTGCAGTCAAAATGTCTCCGCAGACCTTCTGTGATAATCAGAAGTCTGGGATAGTTTCCCATCTGGTCACAGGGCAGGCACCTGGACAGGCTAACCCTCCAGGCCTGAGAGGTACCACGGAGCTGGTGAGGGTGAGGGTTTTTGTGTCCCTTCACTCCCTTGCCCTGTGCCAATACAGCAGAATAGAGTCACGCTTCCGCACCGAAGTCAACCATGTTTAGCCAACAAACTTCACAGCCAGTGAAACGTGACACACCTCCAGGCACCACTGGACAAAAAATGGAAGGAAAATCCACAAGAGAGAAGGGGACTCACTGACACTGGAGATCGATTCCGTGTGAACGGAGAGGACGTTCAGGCGGCTAGAAATGGCAGGCAGAGACAAAACTGACTCAAGACTGACTCAAGAGGACTTAAGCCGAGTGACCTGTCCACTCTGCAAATTCTATATAGGTCGCAACTACTGGCTCTGTTTCCTGTACCACACACAGAATCACACGAGTAGATGTTCACCGGGAAGAGAAACACTGAGGTGTTAAGAAGAGGAACGGGGATCACTAGACAGAGCCCTGTCTACCCTCAGCCAACCCCCCACCCGCCAGGCTACGACCGCAACTACCTGCAACACGTGTCCATCCACCTACTGTCAAGTTCCCTGAACTGTAGAAGAATGAGCCCTAACCTCCAAAGTCCAGTCCTGTCCCTGCCTGCTCAATAACCCTAGATGTCCGGCAAAAGACCAAGGCTTAAACCCCCTCCTGCACCGCTCACCTCCTGACTCCAGCTGTCGGCCTTCCAGCACCCTCCCTCAGCCTCCCCTGTAGGCCCCCACCCAAGCTCCCTGCCTGCCACCATCGCCCACCTCACCCTAACATCTTCGCCCACCCACCCTGGGGGGTTCCCCAAGCCCCAGGCCTTGCTCCAACTTGACCCTACTCCTATCACAAGAAAGTACCCCGGCCCCAGCCTCGCCCTCCGCAATCACCGCCAGCAGGCACTGACCTACGGGGCCCCCCACTGTGACCCTCGCCTGGCCCTGACCCACGCCCTCGGCAGAGACCCTCCCCTGGCCGACCCTGACCCACAACCCACGCTGGGACCCCTAACCCACGCCCTTCCACTCCAAGCTGACGCTGCCCCCAGCGTCCCGGAGACAACACTCCGCGGCCGCACCCGCGCTGCCGACCCGGGGCCTCACCTTCGGCCAGGACCCGCCGCACCCGCAGCCGCAGCTCGCCCAGTTCCACCGTCTGCCCCACGAAATCACTCTGGTCGCGGCCGGAAGCACCGCCCAGGGAGCCTGGACCCGCCAAGAAGTCGAGCGCCGACTGCAGCAGCGACATGGCGGTGGCTGCGCCGCACCCCGCGGCAGCCGGAGTGGTCGGGCTCGGGCTCCCGCTCCCTCGCCGTCCGGGTCAGCTCAGTAACCGCCGGCCCGGAGCTGCACCATCTTCCGCCCCGACGCCGTGACGTACTCGCGCGTGAAGACGCGTCGCGTCAGGCGGCGTCGGGGCCCAGCCCCGTCTCCTTCGCCGCGGCCTCGCTTCCTGGTTGCGCGCTCCGGCGCGGAGGTCTGACGGAGACAGCGCGTGCGCGGCGTCGCCGGGCTTGTGACGAACTTCCGGTTATCAAGCTCCCGGCCGGGCTGACTCCAGCGGAGCGGTCGCCGCGGCGGTTCCCGCCCAGGTAGTTCAGCGCCCCAGCCCAACTCCCGGTACCGTTCCCCACATGGTCTGTTTTGTGGGAGGCTCCTTCTCAGGTGTCTTCGATTTAAGCGCTTCGCCATCCTCTGGGTGGAGTCAGCCTCCCGTTTGCTGTTAGCGCCGCGTTTGCGAATGGGTTCGCGAATTTTTCTCTCAGTTGGCTAAGGAGCAAGGAGTTAGCGTGCGTTAAGCTATCAATAAATACTTGCTTTTTGTCTCATGGAGGTCGGAGTTTCCTGTGACGCTTAGCGACTAAGCTTGGCAGCCCCCTCCCAGCAGCCAGGCAGGCAGTTGGCAAGGGAAACGCTGCTGCACTGCCTTGTCTTCCGAGCAGAGGGCCAGGGTCTGGGCGGGGGAGTGACCAATAGTGGGAGCTGTGGGCTAGAAAACCTTCGTCCTGGGCAACCACAACACTGCAGAGACTGCCCTGTGACCCTCAAGGTTCGTTCGCACCCTGACATTTTCCAAGGCAAAAGCAAGTCCTCATGAACCACTTGGAAGGGTTCATAATGCCCAACCATTTGGAGATGAAAAGGTGACGTTCCTTCTAGGATAATGAGGAAATGGCTCACAGACAGTGCATTTTTAGTTTTTGGTCCACACAGTATTTGGGGGTTGGGAGTGGGTAGCAGGAGGTGAATTAGTTGCTGTCATTTAAACACTGATGCCAGGCGCTGTGGCTCACGCCTGTAATCCCGGTACTTTGGGAGGCCGAGGCGGGCGGATCACCTGAGGTCAGGAGTTTCAGACCAGCCTGGTCAACATGGTGAAACCCCGTCTCTACTAAAAATACAAAAATTAGCTGAGCGTGGTGGCAGGTGCCTGTAATCCCAGCTACTCGGGAGACTGAGGCAGGAGAATCGCTTGAACCCAGGAGGCGGGCGCCACTGCACTCCAGCCTGAGACTCCGCCTCAAAAAAAAAAAATAATAATAGTAATCATTGAAAGTCCTGAACGTTAAAAATCTAGTTTTCCAGCTTCTGTGGAAAAATCAAACCTGTCAAATATTGGACCCCAAATGATGTGTGTTACCAGTTACCTAGAGCGGTCCCTCCAGGTAAGACACAGTCGTTTGCCTGACCAGTTTGGCTCACGTATGTTACCTGCCTGGTTCCTATAGTCATTTGAGGTTGCAACCCTTTCCATAGAGTTATTTGTTCTCAAATTCAAAAATGGATTCTAAAGCTCAAATCAGCCTCTTAGCCGTCCCAGAAGCTAACATCTGTTATCTTTATCATTAAAAGATAATAGACTGAGCTCACTGGAACACTTACCTATTTTATGGAATGAAGTGTTACATGTAGCCAAATGAGATCTTTAAAAATACATATAACAAAAATAACAGTAGCAATAGCTTAGCTTATGCACTGATTCATTGCTTGCAGCATCCTTTTCTGTAAGGGTTCATTGTAATGGTCCTAAAGCATCTTTGTGAAGAAAGCACAGTATAATTAACCCCCTTTATTTTTGGGATGAGAAAATATGCTCAACAATGCCATTACTTGGCCAGGGTCAACAAGTGATACGGCTAAAATTCAATACAAGTTCTGGCTTTTCCAGCCAGCGCATTTGTCTGGTGGGCTGTGGAATAGAAGGATTGAGAGATCAGGAAAGAATCCCTGCTGGAGACAGACATCTGGGCATCCTCAGCGTAGAGGTGGCAGTTGGCTGTAGGAGCTGAAGAGAGGACCAACAGAGATGGTGTACTAGACATAAAGAGGTTAGAATCTTCAGAGAATAGACAGCTTGTGGAGAAAGGGCAGCCAGTGAAGGAGGAAGAAAACCAAGAGAGTGTTGTCACAGAGCCAAGGAACAAGGATGTGCAGGGCAGAGAATGCAGTTAAGTGTCGAATGCTGCTTAAAAGTCAAGTAGAAAAAGAAATGGAAGATACGTGTAGATTTATTCACAACGGATCACTGGTCATCTCACCAAGAATAGCTTCACTGGAGTAATGAGGTGGAAGCTACATATCACCATAGTAGAGGAATGAAGAGATGATGAAGTAGAGATGGCAAGTGGAGATAAGACGTTTGTCTGTGGAGGAGAATGTGAACAACTTTAGGCCAACAAATTCAGCATCCTTAGCTTAGAGAGCTAGAAGGATGATGAGATGTTTTAAGAGGAGAGATTCTTGAGCAGCCTAAAGCTGATGGAAGGGAGAGAAGGTTTGCTGGTACAGAAAAAAGAGGAATAATAAGATAATTCTGTCTTAATGAGATATCTTCCATCTCTTACAACATAGGAGGGGAATGGCATCCAAAGCATAGGTAGAGATACTTGCTTTGGACATAGGAAAACACTTAGGAAGAAAAATGGGCTGCAGTTGCAGGTGACCTTATGTATTTATTGGAATGAAGGTGAAGGAATTCTCTAATGGCTTCTGTTTTCATTGGGAATGAGGAAAGAAAAGCTTCCACTGAAAGTGAGAGGGGAAGTAGGAATCCCAAGATTTAAGCAGTGTCAAGAAGATATAAAATAGCTGTTATGAAAAACCTAGCGAAAATTGAAAAGCATGATAGCGTTCAAGCACTCATTTGGAGGCCATGAACTTACACTGGCATGACCTGGGATTGGCTGGACATTTCTAAACCTTGTCATCACTTTGGAAACCAGAGTCGGACTCCTTATCTTACAAATATTTCTGGAGCACCTTTATTTATCGGCGTTGAAGTAGATGCTGTAGTAATACCATCTTAACCCGAATATCTATCTCCGTATCTCATGTGAACTCTCGAATGTTTGTTCTGAGATACCGCTACGTATATAAACATGTATATACCCAAAACTGAATTTATAGTCTTAATCCCCATACCTGATTTCCAAAATTTCATAGCAAAGAGGATTACAAGAGATTAAGAGGATCATTTTATAATGATGAAGGGATGAATTCATCAAAAAGACTTGATGATCTTAAACATTTATGCCCCTAATAACAAAGCTCTAAAATACACAAAGCGTAAACTAATAGCTCCAAGGAGAGAGAAGTATTACAATTGTAGTTGGAGATTGATGTAGTTGGAGAATATTCTTTCTCAATAAATAGAGAATAAATGGATACGCAGAAAATCACTAAAGATATAGGAGACTTGACATGACTGTCAGTCAACTTGACCTAATGAATGTTTATGGAACACTCCCCACAATAACAGCAGAATACACAGTTTTTCAAGTGCATTAAAACATTAACTGAGCCTGATCATATTCTGGTCTATTAAACAAGTATGTTAGCTGACCAGAATGATATTGAATATTAAAGTAGAAATTAGTAATGGATTGGAAAATCCTTTCAATATTTGGAACCTGAATAACTCACTTTCATTTTTTGTATGTTTTTTAAACTCATTTTTAAATAACTCATGGTGGCCGGGCGCGGTGGCTCACGCCTGTAGTCCCAGCACTTTGGGAGGCTGAGGAGGGTGGATCACGAGGTCAGGGGATCGAGACCATCCTGGCTAACACGGTGAAACCCTGTCTCTACTAAAAATGCAAAAAGTTAGGCGTGGCGGCGGGCGCCTGTAGTCCCAGCTACTCGGGAGGCTGAGGCAGGAGAATGGCGTGAACCCTGGAGGCAGAGCTTGCAGTGAGCCGAGATCGCCCCACTGCACTCCAGCCTGGGCGACAGAGCGAGACTCCTTCTCAAAAAAATAAATAAATAAATAAATAACTCATGGTTCAAAGAAGAAATCAAAAAGGAAATTAGAAAGTATTTTGACAGGCCGGGCGCGGTGGCTCAAGCCTGTAATCCCAGCACTTTGGGAGGCCGAGACGGGCGGATCTCGAGGTCAGGAGATGGAGACCATCCTGGCTAACACGGTGAAACCCCGTCTCTACTAAAAAATACAAAAAAAAACTAGCCGGGCGAGGTGGCGGGCGCCTGTAGTCCCAGCTACTCGGGAGGCTGAGGCAGGAGAATGGCGTGAACCCAGGAGGCGGAGTTTGCAGTGAATTGAGATCCGGCCGCTGCACTCCAGCCTGGGCCGCAGAGCGAGACTCTGTCCCAAAAAAAAAAATAGTATTTTGAACAGGATGAAAATGAAAATGCAGCATTTAAAACTGGTGGGATGCTGCTAAAACAGTATTAAAAGATAGATGTCAAATCAGTGACCTCAGCAGTCATCTTAAGAAACTAGAAAAGTAGGCCGGGCATGGTGGCTCACTTTGGCAGGCCAAGGCAGGCCGATCACTTGAGGTCGGAAGTTCGAGACCAGCCTGGCCAACATGGTGAAACCCCATCTGTACTAAAAATACAAAAATTAGCTGGGTGTAGCAGTGCACGCCTGTAGTTCCGGCTACTTGGAAGCCTGAGGCAGGAGAATCACTTGAACCCGGGAGGTGGAGATTGCAGCAAGCTGAGACTCTGACACACACACACACACACACACACACACACACAAAAAACAGAAAAGTAAGAGAAAGTGAAACCCAAAGTGAATATAAGAAGGCAGATAATAAGTATCAGTGTGGAATTCAAAAAAATAGATAACAAAAGCAATAAAGAAAATCAGGGAAACCAAAAGCTGATTCTTTGAGATTAATAAAATTGAAAAATCTTTGGCCAGATTGAACAAGAAAAAGACAAGACACGAATTACCAATATGAGGAATGAGAGATGACATCACTACTGAAAGAATAATCAGGGACTATTATTAAGAACTTTAGGCCAACAAATTCAGCAGCTTACACTAAACGAACAAATTCCTGGAAAGCATAAACCACTTAAGCTCATTTAAGAAGAAATTGTGTTGGGCTGGGCACAGTGGCTCATGCCTGTAATCCCAGCACTTTGGGATGCGAAGGCAGGTGGATCACAAGGTCAGGAGATTGAGACCATCCTGGCCAGGATGGTGAAACCCCGTCTCTACTAAAAAAAAAAAAAACACAAAAATTAGCTGTGCATGGTGGCGTGTGCCTGAAATCCCAGCTACTTGGGAGGCTGAGGCAGGAGAATCACTTGAACCAGGGAGTCGGAGGTTGCAGTGGGC